CAAGAAGTAGCCCAGAAACGTCATGCTATACAACAAAAAAGCAGTTGCCATCCATATGTAGCAGAACATGGAGTCATCCCACAGATGACATCCTTACCTTGTCAGCTTGCTGACGGGGTTAACCTCTTTGGTCATGTGGACAAGGCGTCCGACTTCTGATCAGAAGGTCCGTGGTTCGAATCCCAGCACCGGACGGAAATTTTATGGCCGCTACACATACACATGTACTTGTCTTATAAGCCAAAGATGCTTATATACATCATGAGATCAAAGGAAAATTATGTGTTTTCTTCATATATTTTTGTGCAAATCTAGATAAATCTCCTTCAAACCATATCATCTTGAATGTTTTGAGACAAAGGTGATGAGTTTTTGCCTATTAAGATGGAAAACACACGAACCTACACACTCAATGTTTGAATGATGTCGTGAGATGGCAGCAGCCTCCATCATTACAAGCGACAGCTACACACACTGACGCATTCCCTGGAGTGTACTGAACAACAGATACTCCACTTGCATTAGTTCAACTAATTAACATATTTCCATAGTCGCTCTTTCACCCTGGCAGGATGAAGCTCTGTGGTTAAGTTGACCTCAACACTTGATCAATGGATAAATATCAAAGGTTGTTGCTGAATGAACTATGTGAGACCAAAATCCATGGTTAGTTTAAACTTCAATGACGTGAATTGGAATTAAATCAATCAAACCAGGTATATTTTATGCATCAGTGTGTCGCTTTTCCATGTTCTTGCAAGTAGATTACTGCACATGTCCCGACATGTGTCACACTTTGGGTGCACAGTGCTGTACGAGTGAATTGATGTTGGAAATCATGAGATGAAGAGACTGACTGACTGACTGAGTTTGGTTTTACGCCGCTTTTAGCAATATTCCAGCAACATCACGGCGGGGGACACCAGAAATGGGCTTCACACATTGTACCCATGTGGGGATTCGAACCCGGGTCTTCGGCGTGACGAGATGAGATGAAGAGAGGTTCCTTAGACATATTTCTGAGAAATATGTTTGTGTGATTCTAATCTACCTTGCTACTGCCTGCAAGTAATCTATTTGTTTGTTGTTAATATAACACTCATCATTATTCTAGCTCTATGATGGTTGGCTGTAAATGACTGTCTGGACTAGGGAATCCAGTGATTGACATGACGAGCATCAGTCTGTACAGCTTGGTTAGGGTGACATGCATCACCCAGCCTAGCGAGCCCAACTTCTTGATAGCATTTGTCATCTTTTATGACAAGCATGAGTTGCTGAAGACCAATTCTAACCTGGGTCTTCGCTGAGGGAGACAAGCATGGGTTGCTGAAGACCAATTCTAACCTGGGTCTTCCCTGAGGGAGACAAGCATGGGTTGATGAAGACCAACTCTAACCTGGGTCTTCGCTGAGGGAGACAAGCATGGGTTGCTGAAGACCAATTCTAACCTGGGTCTTCCCTGAGGGAGACAAGCATGGGTTGATGAAGACCAACTCTAACCTGGGTCTTCGCTGAGGGAGACAAGCATGGGTTGCTGAAGATCATTTCTAACCTGGGTCTTCGCTGAGGGAGACAAGCATGGGTTGATGAAGACCAATTCTAACCTGGGTCTTCGCTGAGGGAGACAAGTATGGGTTGCTGAAGACCAATTCTAACCTGGGTCTTCGCTAAGGGAGACAAGTATGGGTTGATGAAGACCAATTCTAACCTGGGTCTTCCCTGAGGGAGACAAGCATGGGTTGATGAAGACCAACTCTAACCTGGGTCTTTGCTGAGGGAGACAAGTATGGGTTGCTGAAGACCAATTCTAACCTGGGTCTTCGCTAAGGGAGACAAGTATGGGTTGCTGAAGACCAATTCTAACCTGGGTCTTCGCTGAGGGAGACAAGCATGGGTTGCTGAAGACCAATTCTAACCTGGGTCTTCGCTGAGGGAGACAAGTATGGGTTGCTGAAGATCATTTCTAACCTGGGTCTTCGCTGAGGGAGACAAGCATGGGTTGCTGAAGACCAATTCTAACCTGGGTCTTCGCTGAGGGAGACAAGCATGGGTTGATGAAGACCAATTCTAACCTGGGTCTTCGCTGAGGGAGACAAGTATGGGTTGCTGAAGACCAATTCTAACCTGGGTCTTCGCTAAGGGAGACAAGCATGTGTTGATGAAGACCAATTCTAACCTGGGTCTTCGCTGAGGGAGACAAGCATGGGTTGATGAAGACCAACTGTAACCTGGATTGTCACTGAGGAAGATATGCAAGGGTCGATGAAGACCAATTCTAACCTGGGTCTTCGCTGAGGAAGATATGCGGGCAAATATTATAGGCTACAGGCAGGTGGAATTCCCTTGACCTTGCTTCACACATCTCAGAAATAACATTGTCTCACCCAGCAACCTGAACACTCAGCTCAGTTAAATCCAATAACCAGGTAAAACTGTCACACTTTTCTTTTTGTGGCCATAAATCCTCCATACCCCCTACACTGAGGCCTCCAGAGACTGTCTGACATGAGAGAGAAAATCTGAACCTTATTAAATCTGCATGTTTCACCATCAACACAAAACGTCAAAGCTCACATGTTTCAAGGTCACCAGGTTGATTTTATCTTCAATCATTGAGTGTTTTCAAAACGATTTAGTGCTTGTTTATTGCTTAAAGTCTGCATTGACTGGTGATACCTAGTGATTGACATCATGAGCAAACTGTCAAGGTATGAGGAGACAAACATGGGTTGCTTCCTACATGGCAGCAATCAGTAAATACTCAAGTCTGGACCAGACAATCCAGTGACGATCATGAGCAGCAATCTGTGCAACTGAGATACATGACATTCATCAACCAAGTCAGCAAGCCTGACCAACCGATCTCGTTAGTTGCCCCTTATCACAAGCCACCTAAACCTGATCCAGATCCCACGGTCTAGATTTTCGAAGCTCTCTTAGCGCTAAGATAGTCGTAAGTTAATGTTAATGTATGGCACTTACGACTGTCTGCGCGCTAAGAGAGCTTCGAGAATCTAGGCCCAGATCCTTATTGGGGACCCCAAATGTGAAACAGATCAAATGATATAAATCTTTAACATATTTGTCGACATTTTCACCATTAGGAGCAAACAAACAGAGGCGCTAAGTCTAAGCGATGGCCCAATATATATTCAGAAAAACTTTTTACTAATCTTACTGGACATGAAAAAGGTAATAAATTCGGCCTGTTTAGGGCAAATATTCAGCCACACGCTACCTTACAAGTCTGCAGCAAATTTAATAATTGGAATTACAAACATCTCAATTCTTGTTGTTATATGAGAAATGTTAACCAATGCAATACCAAGGAGGTGAATTGCATTTCACCGATAACACAACCCAAAAATATAAAAATAACAAAAACAGAAAGAAATGCTTCTGGGCTTAGTTTTAAACTATTACACCATTGCATTGAATGTGATGTTAAACTAAATCTGAATTTGAGAAAATAGGAATATTCACAAAAAATCATAATTTAGAGATAAAGGGATCTGTTTTTCCTGGTTTCACTATGTAGAAACAACAACATTGTCCAAGGCACATTTGTGACAAAACAAACTCACACAAACGGACAAAACAGCATAAAAAACCTAGGCTTCATGCAAATGAGTTGCAGCTCTGACTTTGTACTCTTCAACAAAACAACAATACCAAAACGTTCTCACAACAGGTAACATCATACAGAAACTCCCCAATCACAAAACAACGACGTCAGATTAAGACTGAAGATGTCTTCACCAACAACACACCAACAACATCAATTTTACATCAAAGATGCTGCCTTCCCTCAAAATATAGCAACAGTGTCAGTTTAAAATTTGAAAGGCAACAACGTCAATTTCAAGGGTACTTCACATCACAGAGAGCTATGTCAGATTAAGATACAGGTAGTGAGTGAGTGAGTATGGTTTTACGCCACTTTTAGCAATATTCCAGCAATATCACGGCAGGGACACCAGAAATTGGTTCACACATTGTGCCCATGTGGGGATTCGATTAAGATGAAGGTACCTTCATGTGCACGACAACCTGCTGGAGAACAGCTGACAACACCTCAATGCTCCTTTGTGTGTCCTGGCACTCACTTCAAACCTACATGACTCCCATCTTTAGGTTTATGGTATTTTATGGGAAAGAAATCAACTATTATGAGGACAACCTGAAATTCTGCAGCCCAAAACATTTGACGAAATATTTTCCTGAAACTAGGATTACAAATTTGAAATTGTGTCAAATATTTTTTCCTTCCATCTTAACATTTCAAATGAACTAAAACCTAAATGATATATGAATTTAGATGTAATTTTAAGATAATTATTACCTCCCAACCTCAATTTGGGGACTAAAACAGCATATCCAATTTTTTAAAACCTTAACCTTAGCTATGGGTCAACCTTGAAATGTTAGACTGACTGACTGAGTTTAGTTTTTCGATTTATATTTATTATTCCAGCAATATCAATTTGGGGACACCAGAAATGGGCTTAACACATTGTGCCCATGTGGGGAATCGAACCCGGGCCTTCGGCGTGATGAGCCAACGCTTTAACCACTAGGCTACCCCACCGCCCCTGAAATGTTAGAAATAACCAGGTGCTCAATGAGTAGATGACCAGCCGAATGCTTCAAGGCCAACAATGGAACTGATTTGGACAGTAAGTAACTCTTCATTGTCAGCTGGAACATTGATGAATTGACACATCACCTCAACACTTTTCCATTCAAAATAAAAAGCCATTAGCTACAAGCTTTTTGTTTAAAATAAAAACGATTTTTCTAAATTTGAACTCAAGTTTGGTTTTGTGACATAACATCAATGGCACTCTGTGAGTCTTGATCAGTTTTTCCATCAGGCATGTGACGCAATACATGCACAGTAAACCAAACCAAAACACTTAGCAGGATTACATAAAGCAAACTAATTGTAAATAATCAGTAAGATGCATGGTAACCATGGTAACATGACAAATACTTACAAACATCTCGAATCATCATGTAGACCGATCACCAAAACTTCCACAATGAATTCCAGTGCAGCTAAAAACCACAAAATGTATTCACTTTACACACACAGAGTATGTGTTGACAAATGACGAACATTCACGGATTTATTTTGTTTTACAATATCTGAGATCAACTCATCGTGACTGGTTTGTTTGTCTATTGCGACATTGGATGGCGAACAAGCTACCTACAGTTTATCACTGTAAGTACGTAAATAATCATGTGTGGTCAATTGCATGGTGCTATCATTATTTATACCTGTGGCTAATGCCATGATCACAGTGCCATCAGCACTTCAGCCCAACCAGTTGTTGATACCATGGTAATAGAGTCATCTGCGCTTCCACCAAACCGGTCCCTGCCATCAATGCTGTTACCAAACATGTGGTTGACAACATGATCATAATGTCTTTGGCTCTTTAGCCAAACCCATGCCTGATAGCATGGCAATTGTGCTACTGGCATTTCAACCAAAACCAGAGATCAGGTTTATCATAGCACCATTGGCGCCTCAACCAAATTAGGGGCTGAGCCTAGTGCAGTTAAAACCTCCAGGAATTCAGTGATTGATAGCATTGTGTCATCAGCACTTGAACCAAACTGGTTGTTTAGAGCATGATCACAGTGTCAGTCATCAAACCAGATGTGACAACATGATCAGGATTCTTTCAGCAATTCAGGGAAGTCAGAGTACCTGACCCACCAATACCTCCACAGCTGCCTCCTACAACCAGCATGAGGCACAGGGAACCTTCACTAAGCTGGAACCTCACATACCTGATGTCCTTCTACACTAACCATCAGCTGGAACCTCACATACCTGATGTCCTTTTACACACTAACCAACAATAGCAATACTTTACAAGATCCTGTGTCAACTGATGGGAAGATAAAACAGAACTTTATAAACAGTCTGTGCCGGAACCTTTGAGTCTACCTACCTGAACATGTCTTTTACCAATATTTTCATTAGAGTTTAGTGTTAATATATAGACTATGATTTGCTGAGCTTCAGGCTGACAAAATTATACTAGTCTCAGGCTTTAAACTAGTGCCCCAAACTGCAAAGAGTATGTGTAATACTGAATCGTGTAAACATGTTTGACCAATTGTCTCAACATATGAATGACATGTATTTTAAGTAAGCTAGTTATCTTTACTGTAAGATGGAAATTAGGGCAAATGTGACATAAATTGACTCACTCAATGCAAGTGGGTAAAACCAATCTGCATTAGCAATTACTGAATAAGCTGATTTTTTACACAAACAGTTGTTGATATATTGATTAGTAATTAGTAATTACATTGTATCAAAATGCAAAACCCAGTTCTGAAAAATCCTGTACAAATATAATGAGAAAATGTGGCTTCCCTTGTCAAATTAGGCTGCCATTATCTCATTAGTGATCAGACCAACGTCATATTTGCAAAGTGACACAGATAGAACCGATAATGTGAGTTTTCTGGGTTATAGGAACAAAATCATGGTTTGTTTTGCTACCTGAAGACACCTAGATTCTTATATAATAAGGCAACATAGGTTTTCATAACAAAAACTGAAACATACACTCTGAAATTAATTAAAAGTTATTACTAGTGCACAGGTGTTCTGAAATGACAACCATCAATTGCTTACACAAACATACAATTTAGTAAACATACATTTTTCCTTTTGCATCAACATCAGCAGTTTGTAAATTAAATAGATGTGACAATTAACTATCAGCTTGCTGAACATCATAGCATGACTAGGCAGGCCAAAATCGTGTGTTTTAAATGACTGAATGAAACGTCATTCCAGCAGGCCGAGTTCCCTGCTAAGAATGCTTACCTAAGGAGTGGTTTCCTTTCTAAGAAAAAGTCATATGTGTGACACAATTTACACATCTTATTTCATCACATCCTTAACTATTCCCAGCCACTGTGTGGTTTTGTAAACTTCCTCAGGGCAGATGAATTAGATAAATACTTGAAGTCTGAAGGATCCTGCTAGCAAGGCTAACTGGCAGTCAGAGCTGGTTGTGTTAACCCACGTTACGCGTCTTTGTTTCTCTGCTGATCCTAACATGGGGCGATGGGGTAGCCTAATGGTTAAAGCGTTCACTCGTCACGGCAAAGACACGGGTTCGATTCCCCACATAGGTACAATGTGTGAACCCCACTTCTGGGGTCCCCTGCCATGAGATTGCTGGGATATTGCTAAAAGCAGCGTAAAACTAAACTCACTCACTCACTGATACTAATGTTATGTTGGACACTACCTACGGTACACAGTTACAATATTTACCTGGAGGAGGGAGCTTATAGTCATGATTATTTACAGATTGGTGTAGAAGTTGATCAGGGGGGCAGCCAATGGAGCAATGATTACTTACAGATAAATGTCAGGGAGCAGTTATTGTTGCTAGGTGTTTATTGCAGAGAATATGATAATGATTACTCCATTGATGCCAATGATGATACTGGCTACATTCAGCCATGATCTCGGAGTCCTAGTTAAATTACAAAGGCAAATTACGTTTGGCTGCACTTTATCATCAACTCCATTAGAATATTTAATAAAAATATTTTGTAATGATAATTTAGCAGAACAATTGTTGAACGGCCTGAATTAAATCTGCCAGTTTGCCAGAGCCTTATATTATGTAATTATGAGTATTAAGTGCCCCGAAAGTCTGATTCATGGATCAAGTTTTATGTGAGCAAGGTGATTAAGTGTGAGACCTACGTTTTAGCTTTGTCTCAATCTTTCAAAAAGGCTGTGTGTACCCTGGACATAAATTCTGTGTACAAGTACTGTTTGAAACTTACTATCAAATAGTAACTGAGTGAGTTTGGTTTCAATACTTTTTAGAACAGTATTCCCGTTAAATCATGGCGTGTCCTCATCACTAATTGGCTGAAATATTGCTGATGTGACAATAACTCACTCACTCATGTCAGCTAATTGTAGAAAGAAAGCCTAAAGTGATGCACGTCCAACAAGTTTACCACAATGGTGAAACCCGTGAGTACAGGCAATGATGTCGACAAACCTAGGAACATTACCGAGATGAACCACTGGGTTCGATTCCACGATCATCGATGTCTGTTGTGAACAGGTGAAGCAACTCTGCATACAAATTGCAGCAATCTGCATTAGCAATTACTGAATAAGCTGATTTTTTACACAAACAGTTGTTGAGATGAACCAGGGTTCGAATCCACGATCATCGATGTCTGTTGTGAACAGGTGAAGCAACTCTGCACACAAACTGCAGCAATCTGCATTAGCAATTACTGAATAAGCTGATTTTTTACACAAACAGTTGTTGAGATGAACCAGGGTTCGAATCCACGATCATCGATGTCTGTTGTGAACAGGGGAAGCAACTCTGCACACAAACTGCAGCATCTGTGATGACTGGGTCACCCAAACCTCACTATCCAAAATAGCCCAGGACAGCCAATATAGCTGTCTTTCTGTCAAAATATGCTTCATTTAACACAATGAAACCTGGCATTTAATCAATACTTACGTAATAACTTTAAACATGGATAACAAGGAATTCTGTACAACTGACTGCCATCAATTACCTGTGTGGCATTTTCACCTGTCAACACAGTTGACGTGGCTATTTGGGAAAGGTGCCGATAAGATTGATAAAACATACCTGGTTTATCTTAACTGGAAAATGTCTTGCGAAATTACTTTCTGACCTTAATCTATGATTACAATTTGCTTTGAATCAGAAACAGCTATGTTTGGATTATTATCAGGTTTAATCTAAGTTATAGGCCTGTGTCAAACCTACGCCTAACTGTCTCACCTAATGTTAACTGGGCCCTATAATGTTAAACTAAATCAGGCTGTCTTGCATGTGTTAACAATGTCATTGTTAAACTACCTTTCTCACCTGTGTTTTACTATCCTCAAAGTGTTTCAACAGTTTTAGCTAATACCTGTGTTAAACTAAATCCCTTTCTCACCTGTGTTTTACTATCCCCAAAGTGTCTCAACAGGTTTAGCTAATCCCTGTGTTAAACTAAATCCCTTTCTCACCTGTGTTTTACTATCCTCAAAGTGTCTCAACAGGTTTAGCTAATACCTGTGTTAAACTAAATCCCTTTCTCACCTGTGTTTTACTATCCCCAGGGTGTCTCAAGAGGTTTAGCTAATACCTGTGTTAAACTAAATCCCTTTCTCACCTGTGTTTTACTATCCTCAAAGTGTCTCAACAGGTTTAGCTAATACCTGTGTTAAACTAAATCCCTTTCTCACCTGTGTTTTACTATCCTCAAAGTGTCTCAACAGGTTTAGCTAATCCCTGTGTTAAACTAAATCCCTTTCTCACCTGTGTTTTACTATCCCCAAAGTGTCTCAAGAGGTTTAGCTAATCCCTGTGTTAAACTAAATCCCTTTCTCACATGTGTTTTACTATCCTCAAAGTGTCTCAACAGGTTTAGCTAATACCTGTGTTAAACTAAATCCCTTTCTCACCTGTGTTGTACTATCCCCAGGGTGTCTCAACAGGTTTAGCTAATACCTGTGTTAAACTAAACCCCTTTCTCACCTGTGTTTCACCATCCCCAGGGTGTCTCAACAAGTTTAGCTAATACCTGTGTTAAACTAAATCCCTTTCTCACCTGTGTTTCACTATCCCCATGGTGTCTCAACAGGTTTAGCTAATACCTGTGTTAAAATAAACCCCTTTCTCACCTGTTTTTCACTATCCCCAGGGTGTCTCAACAGGTTTAGCTAATACCTGTGTTAAAATAAACCCCTTTCTCACCTGTGTTTCACCTGTGTGTTAAAATAAATCCCTTTCTTACCTGTGTTTCACTATCCCATGGTGTCTCAACAGGTTTAGCTAATACCTGTGTTAAAATAAACCTTTCTTTCTCACCTGTTTTTCACTATCCCCAGGGTGTCTCAACAGGTTTAGCTAATACCTGTGTTAAAATAAATCCCTTTCTCGCCTGTGTTTCACTATCCCCAAGGTGTGACTGAGACTCATGAACCAAGATAAATTCAAAATTACTGAATTAAAATATTGAATAATGAGTTTAGTATTTTCATGAACCAAGATAAATTCAAAATAACTGAATTCTTTTTCAGAGGTTTGAACATTTAGACGGTTTGAGTAAAAGTTTGCACAAAGACATGTGCTGTAGTAATATCATAAAAATATAAACCTCAACTGCTGAATTACCTGCAACAGTATTGAAACTGAATTCTTTAAGCTGTGAATAATTCAGGTACACATTACCAATTACCAATCTTTGCCTTAATCACTAGTCCCAAAGTCTAGATTTCTCCTCAAGCTCAGCAAAAAATACTCTATGATAACACCTAAATAGTCTTTTTGCAAAGACTAAAATGGTCTATGTTATAAAGCTTAAATAGTCTTTATCATAACTATAAAAAGTCTAAATTATGACACAATATTAGTCTGTTATTATAACACTCAAATAGTCTGTATTATCAGACTTCAATGGTTTATAATTTAACACTAAAGAGTCTAAACTTGACTGACAATGGTACAACGATCCCACTTTGGACTAGCAGTCTCAAATGTTTTTTAAACAAGCTGCCTTGGAATATATCCATCAAATAATATTGTAAATTAAAAGTACATCTCTACCTTAACCAAATGATGCATTTCATTCAGATGCCTTCACATGTGACGAGAGTTAACAAAACAATACATAAATATGAAGGATTAACGATTGACAGAGTCTCTATCCACCACACATGCATGAGCTGACATAATACTTTTTCAGTTAACCATATGTTACACAAAACTAAACTATCTATAAATACATTTTAGTAATGACTTTAAAAAAACTCTTACCTTAAACATTGAACATTAAATTAAAATGTATAAAGAACATCCATGTAGAACATATCCAAGAAACTGCTGAATAATGACACAAGTCTCCCGATCAACCACCACTGTTAACGCATATCCGCAACAGAGTGGCTCTGTGTGTACGGAATCTTATCTCCCTCCTATAAACATCCTTAACGAATATGGCCAGGTGAACTCACAGGTAGGCGTGTGGTCGATCGCTAACACTCCAAAAATACTCCAAACGGATCCAATTCACAACACGTCACACATTGTTAACAAATTTAAAACACGCATAAATGATGGCCTGTCAAGCGTGGAGCTCTGTTTTAGTTAGTAGTGTCAGCATCCTTGATCTGGCTGGCCCACCCTACCACTGCATTGGCTGAATTCTCAATAGAAGTCCTGTTGACAAACTATTCGCGCGGTTTCAACTGGGCGATTAAACCAACGTGGTTAGCCAGCGTAATGATTACAGTAGGTCACACCCACCTAGCCTGCTTTCCTAGCATTGTGCACTTGACCTAAATCATAAACACAAGAAATAACTACATTATTGGTCAAAATCTGGTATCAGGCCTCCAACACCAGATGTTACATATTATTTTCTCGAAAGCTCCACGAGGTGTGATTACATCCTGGTGTTCATACAAAAAGCTAAATATATGCATAATGTCATTGTTTGTACTGGTAAAAGTCAAATTCATGGGAAAATACTTGTGCAATGAACATGAAGAAATATATCATGCCATATTCAACTGCAATACTTCAATATCCAGCTTTAATATCAGCCTCCTCCGTGACTTGTTTAGTTGTGCTGTCTCTGATGAATCAACCTATTTTCTAAAATAACAAAGGTATCTGAATATACAATGACAAGACAGTTGGAAAACATATCCCCTAGCGATTACAACAACAATCCTTTTACTATGAACAGTAGGATTAAGCTGTATGCTAAGCTGGTTGTGAAAATGTAAACATTCATAAACTTGTGTACACAATCAACCTGACTTAGCAAGAAAACAGTTACAACAGGTTTTTTTTAGGTAGTTTGAAATCTATTTGTTGTGCAAATTTCATATACTGTCGCATTAAACGCACTGCATAACATAAAGGTATTATGGAAATGTTGATTGCACTATTTCATTGGTTTTGTCACCAGACAGAGAGAAACAGAATTATTTATGTAGAGATGTTGTTTAGGACCTATTAATTGATTTGTTAACCAAATATTCAGCCCTGGAAATTTTGTTTTTTAATGCTCATCTAAAGGACTAGTGGAAACCTTACTTCACTCACAGGTCCTCGGGGTCTATACCCCATTCTCCTGAACAAGACACTGTTTTTACTGTTTACAAATTCTGTCAACTCTTATGTTCCAGTTTGTTCATTTACTTGTCCTCAACACAGTTAAGCTGCCTCGGGCTATCGAGTTAGCATGAATTACAAAGGCTGAACATAGGCTGAACAGAGGAATTGATACAGAAATCAGTAATGGTATATTCCTCAGTGTGTGAGTGATAATAAAGTTGAGTACAAGGCAAGTCTTGTAATATTAAATAGTATATTCCCCGGTATGTGAGTCTTGTAATATTAAATAGTATATTCCCCGGTATGTGAGTGATAATAAAGTTGAATACAAGGCAAGTCTTGTAATATTGAATGGTTTATGTTTTCTGCCAATCCTTAAATTATAAAATGTGGAAATGAACATCTTTTATCTATTGATTAAGTCTGGTGAACTTATTTTTTCTCCAAGAAATGAGTCATGTACTGTACGACTGTGAGATAAGGGATTGTAGGCTTCTGATAACACAAACCCTACCTGGTGTGTACCTGAGCACACTGCTGGCTGATTAAGTCTGGTGAACTTATTTTTCACACAAAAAAATTAGTCATGTTCTGTACGACTGTGAGATAACGGGTTGTTACAGACTTCTGATACGACAAACCCTACCTGGTGTGTACCTGGGCTGACTGCCGGTTGTAAGAGGCAACTAACAGGATTGGTTGGGCACTCACTGATACGTTTGATGCATGTAATTGTATCTCCAATACGTAAATCAAAGCTCATCAGGTCAATCATAGGATTATCTGGTCCATATTTAATTATTCGCAGAATCCATTGTGTATCTGCAATATTGCTGGCACACCTTAACCATACTAAACAAAAACAACAACATTTGAACTACTAAACACGGAGTAGAATAGCACAGTAAGGAGTAGAATAACAACTGTTAAAACATCTAACGTAACACGTTATACTTGGGATTACACTTTCACAGCAAAGTACAGAGTCTAGTACTTTGGTTGGGTTGAGTCCCATCCGAGATTTGGTGGACAAGTCAGCACTGTGTATTCATGTTAAATTATCTACTTTTACCCCAATTGAAAAGTTACAATTTTAAACAATTAATGACATGTTATTATATAAAAACAAAAAGAAATTTATCTCTGTTCATCTATCATACTTATAAAACTATGTAAATGTATCAGCCAGTAACACCCCTGGACTATGTACTTCAGGCATATGGCCACATCAGTATATGAATAAACACTGACTGATTGACTATAACTTGACACCAGCAATCAGTGTTGAACATTACAACTAAATTCAACACATTACAACCACACCCGTATTACTTGACAACAGCAAGCAACAAACAAACAGAACAGCCTTGACCACTTCCTGGTTGTAAAGAAAGAGACACCTGTATTGAGAAAGTTTACCTGCAGATCTAAACAACAAATGTCTGTCTACCTTCAATAGAACCAACAGACTGTAACATCATAAGCTATCCTTGCTGCATTTAGCTCATTTCAGTAGTTAAGTTACATGCATGTGATGCTGTCTTTGTAAACTTTTGAATTTTTAAAAAATCTTTAATATTGTTTCCTTGGATCAGCCTCAAGGGTGTGTATTACTCACTTTATATCCTTGTCAGGTTCAACTGTTTGTCGTCATGGAAACTAAAAAGGAGACTTAGAAGGCAGACAACTTTAGTAGAAATTACAGTTTAATGTATACATCACAGGATACAATTCAATCATGATGTGAAGGCTTAATGATGCTGTACATCACGATGGTGGCTGTACTGAACGTGTCCATCCACTGAGTGACAGCAGGATTACATAGTGTATATATGAACGTATCACACTCCCAATATCAAGTATCATGAATAAAGTAACAGTAGTAATCTTAAAGTGGTTTATACATGACATGTAGCACAGTTTGATGTATCAAACTTATTGAAGTAAATACCAGTATAATGATATTAATGTAGTTTCACTTGATATATTAATGTATAGTAAACTAGTGTTGGGAATTGGTTAAAATACCATAATTGATGATTGGTTCTTTACAACCGATCAAAATTTCACATCTTTAAAGGATGGCTAGTTGCTTTTTATATATGTTAGGAACTTAAATGTCTTAGGGTCTTTAAGATAAATTCAATCATGACTTGGAACTGAGCTTGTAGTGCTTATGAAATGTAACAGACAAAACCAACCTAATGAAAAATACTGCTAATGAAAACAAGTGTTCCAGAATTGTTTGTGCTCAATTGTTGAGTAAAACAATTGTTTCAGTAAAATATATACATGTAGATAAGACTTACTGAAGCACTTAGCACTGGCTGTTTAGTATATAAACATGTGTGCGTACATCTGTGTGTCTGTTTATCCCTGTCTGTCGGTATATTTACGGAACTAACGTAAACTTGACCAATCATGTTCATCATTAACAGATAAACTTGTGTAAAATTAACAGAAGTGATAACAGAACAAGGTACTGATGTCAGATCCACATATTTTTCAACATACTTATTTTTTATTATTTTCAAAATATATATTCTCTGAAAAGTTTTTATCAAGCCTTTTTGTAGATACATGGAGAAAAATATCATGAAAACAAGAAAATGAACAGTTTTGATCATAGTTTTTACCTGACTGAGTGTGTTTTATGCAAATGCTTTAACCAACAGGTTACCCCACACCCCTTTACATTGATAAAGATCATTTGATTAATTCTAAGAAAACAAATTTTATTTCATTTGCAAAAGAACTCTGGAAATAGTTTTTATCCGTTTAATTACAAAACATTCAGTTTGCACAACCTACCTGAATTGAAAAGTAACACAAATGAACATAGACATGGACAAAAACATTTTCTAAAATACATGTAACTATATTGCTTAGTGTTGATTACAAATACAGTACAGGTGAAAATACAGACAGGTCAGATAATCTAAACAACAACAAAGGTCAATCTAGGCTGACATTCACACAAACAACTAGTGCTATTATTGAGTTGTCCTTCACACAAACAACTAGTGCTATTATTGAGTTGTCCTTCACACAAACAACTAGTGCTATTATTGAGTTGTCCTTCACACAAACAACTAGTGCTATTATTGAGTTGTCCATCAACATCATTATGGTGGTTGTTCTGGTGTGAAAGGTTTTCCACTATGCTCAATTACAACATATTTATATCCATATTTCATGGTTTGTGCTGTTATAGATTTTAAATGTTTCAATGTCTCTCATAACGATTATGGTGGCTTTTACATTTTAACTTGTCAATATTATATTGAATTTCACACTTCGTAAATGTATTTGGTGAGATGAAATAAAGAATTTTTTTTCTCTCTCTCTCATCTGAGACCTAAGCGAATATAGACAGCTTGAGATGCTAGGTTTACCTTGACCCAGGGTGACCTCACTAAGATTGACGAGTGTTAGTGATCTGCATGGCTGACTCTCGGAATGAAAACCAGCTTCCTGACTGAAGGATAAACACCAGGTATTGCCATCTGTATCGCTGAGCCTGACTTGTTCAGGTAAGTGTCACGCTGCGGCAAACAAATAGCCTTCACTGATCATAGTCATTTTCAACTGAACTTGTAATGTGCTGGATCAAATACCTGTTATGTCCTTTGGTGTAACTGTAAACGAATGTATCCAGACCAACTAAGAGGCTTAAATTAGGCCATCCATACTTTTTATGTGTTTTTTCAACAAGCAAAAGACTGAGTTGGCAAAAACACTGAACTAAAATAAAAAATAATTCAACATGATTTTTACTTAATGTGCCTCCTATTTTATAAAATCGTAAAAATGTAATGACTTGGTGATGGTCACATGTTCAAGGGTTAGAATGTTTTTTATCACACTGGGGCTTACAATTTGAATCCCACCCCCACCCCACCCCCAAAATGGGAAAAATAATATTTTCAAATCAGAAGGAAAATTCTGGGTGGGAGAGAGATGGAGAACACAGAACATAACAAATATCCTCAGCATAATACTTCCCAAGTCTACAACAAATGTCAAAAACATTTCCCAGGCTGAAATCCCAATTCATGTCAACATATACTAATCTTAGTTTGTCAAAGAACAAACTTGTAGATGTCCAAGACACACTTGCAAGTAATTGT